GTCTGTTTGTGGGGGGGGGGGGTTTTTGGGTTTTTTTTTTTTTTTTTTTTTTTTTTTTTTTGCTTTTCTTACTTACTTAACTTGGGAGAGCTGGGGAGGGCTGGGGGAGCGCTGCCAAAGTGGCTGTCCCTGCACACGTGCGCCCGGCCTCGCTCTGCTCGGCTGCGGATCGGGCGCACGGAGGGGGACTGGGAGCACAGGGGGATCACGGAGCGGCCAGGTGAGTGCTGTCCTAGGGCTTCAGCTGAGAGAGGGCAAATAAAGGTGTCGCTGCTTTACCTGGGACCTGCGGCAGCATGGAGTTTCCTACAAGTGTGGGCAGCTCGGTGAGTGCCGCAGCCCTGGGGACTTTGCTCCAGGGCTCCACGTGCTCTCCGATCTTCAGGGCGCGGGCTGGCGAGCGGGGACCCCCATTCCCATCCCCGGGAGCCACACGTCGGTGACCCCGAGTTTGGAAAGAGGGGGTGGCGATCAGGACACCCATGCAGGGTGGCCTCCCAGCTGACACCGAAACGGGGGTCGCAGCACCCCACTGTCACCCCCACTGGGACGCGGTGACCCAGCGCTCACCCGTGCCATGCTCTCCCATCCGGTGCCTCCAGCAGCAGTTGCGCCCGCTCTGCAGATGGAGAAACTGAGGCAGAGCTGCGGCCGCGGGGCAGGTTTCCTTGTGGGCGCCCCTGCTGAGTCAGTAGGGCCGGGGTGGGGCCTGGCTCCCGCTGCGCCCGGCCGGGATAACGGGGAGGAAATCACTTTTGCATATTTGATTACAACGCACAGGTCACCAGCGGGGCCGCTGCTTGTGAAATGTGGCAATGCCACCGGGCGCCCCGGGGGGAAGGGAAGAGGGGGAGCCCCAGCCGGGGGGCAGGTGAGGGGCGTGGGACTGGGGGAACGCACGGGGCTGTGGGGGGAACGTATGGGCTCACCGACGTCGGTTTGTCCCCACCAGGTGTCGTGCCCTTCGTGGCCCTGCTACTGCTGCAAAGGAGGCCGGTGGCCGGGCGGGCGCTGCTGGGGACGGGCTCTGCTTGTCCCACCAACGGGCTGTGCAGGGCCAACGTCCAGGAGCAGACCCGCAGGCAGGTTGCACTGCTCAACGCCACTGCGCAGGACCTCTTCAGCCTCTATGTGAGTGACACCAGGATGGTGGCAAGGGGTGGCCACTGTGGGGACACGGAGTGGCCGTGGTGGGGATGTGGGGCGGTGCGGTGGGGACGGGGATGGCCACAGTGGGGACAGAGGGACAGGGGGTGACACTCGCTGTCCCCGCAGCTGAAGTGCCAGGGAGAGCCGTTCAGCAGCGAGAGCGACCGCCTCTGCACCCCCAGCGGCATCTTCTTCCCCCCCTTCCACGTCAACCGGACCACCGAGAGGAAGGAAGTGATGGTGGCCATGTACAAGCTCTTTGCCTTCCTCAACGCCTCACTGGGGAACATCACCCGCGACCAGGAGGAGCTCAACCCCACGGCCAAGGAGCTCCTCGACCGCCTCCACAACACCACCAAGACCACTCGGGGCCTCATCTCCAACCTCACCTGCCTGCTCTGCAAGCACTACAACATCTTCCAGGTGGACGTGAGCTACGGGGAGAGCAGCAAGGGCAAGAGCGCCTTCAAGAAGAAGCAGCAGGGCTGCCAGGTGCTCAGGAAGTACGTGCAGGTCATCGCCCAGGCTGCTCGTGTCCTCCTACCTCACCTCAGCCCTGCATGAGCCCCGGCCCCCGCGCCACGCCGCGACCGGGACAGCGGACATCTCCTTGCACCCATCCCACAGATGGGCACGGCGAGGCCCCTCCACCTCCTCACCTCTCGCCTTCCTATTTATTACCTCCTGCTGATGCTGCACCGGATCCGGGCCATCCCATGCTTTAATTTATTTCCCTGTTCAGGGGAGGACGAGGGCATGGGGCTCTGTCCCCCGCACCCTGGAGCCCCATGAGGATGCTCAGCCCCACAGCTCGGGGCTCATCACAGACATAGTGAAAAATCAGGAGGAGGAGACCCACTCCAGCATCCCTCCAGCATCCAACGAAAGAGATTTTCCCCTCCTGGATGCGCTCACACCCACAGCAGCCAGCAGGGACGCTGGGGATGTGCTCCCACCATACGCTATGGGGCCGGCACCCCTACAATGGGGCTGAACTGAGGGTGTGCGGTGGCCAGGGCTGGGTCCCGCCACCCAATGGGGACAGGGACGTGGTGCTGGGGAGCACCCGTGGATGTTGGCATGGCCCGCTGGCACAGACGGGGTCTCAGCCAGCATGGGGACTCAGGGGCCGAGCCTGGGGCGGTGGCAGGAGGCGCTGGCTCGTCCCTGGCGCCGGGGCGGGGGCCGGGGGTATTTATAGGCTCGGACCTGGTGTTTAATAATATTAATAATAATAATAATTAATAAGAATTTTGGTAATATATATATATATAGAATTCTATTTAAATATTTATTTTTTTATACTTCTTTCCTCCAATTGTTGTTGTGTTTTGTTTTTTTTTTTAATAAACCAAGAGAAAGTGACCCTCTCTGTCTCCTCTTTGCTCCGATGCTCCCCCCAGACGCCCTCGGGGCTGCCCCAAAGAGCCCTCGAGCATCACCAAGGGTTGGGGTTCACCACTCCCTGCCCCTGCTCCCGTTTCCCTCCCCGCTTCCTATGAGATGGCTGCCGCTTGGCCATCCCACGGCAAAGGGATCGTCCCCAAGGGATGCTGAAATTGCCTCCCAGACTCTGGGCTGCCCTGGGAGAGGCTCTGAAAAGCTCCGGTCCAGCCAAGACCACCTAAGGATGCAGCCGCGCGCCGGTCCTCAGTGTCTCGCATGGGGCTGCACCGGTTAACAAGGGGCTGATTATACGGGAGACGTTGGAGCGGGATGATGAAATTTTCCTCCTCCTCCGGAGCCCTCGGGCCACCCGCCAAACCTCCCAGGCATGAGACAGGGAGCGGATGAGCTAAGATCCTGTGTGCTCATCTCGTGTCTCGGAGGAGCCCCGACAAAAAGTAATCAGCGAAACGGGAAAGATTCGCCCCCTATAAAAAAAGGAGCCCTCTTTGCTTTGCCCCCATGGGCAGCTCTGCCCTGGTGAAGGGGTTGAGCCCCACGGCTGTGCCAACATCCCCGTGTGCAGCATTTGTCTCTTTGGGTACGGTGTGGTGATATCCATCACCCCATTCTGCCACTGGGGATGGAACCTGGGCACCCCGATGTCATCACCCAGAGACCATCACAGCTTTCCCGTGGGATGGCCCATCCTCAAACTGCTGCTGAACCCCAAAGATGAGAAAGGGACACGGGGGGAGAAGCTGAGGCTGGGGCCATCCCAGTGACAGTGGGTCAGCACATCCCCATGGCTGCTGCCCCCAGCTCAGGGCACGGCCACCCCATCCCCACAATGGGCATCTGGGCTGAGCGCTGTCACCTGGGCTGCCCCATGGCCACATTCACTGCTCACCCCATTGGGGACCAACAGGTGCCAGGGTGTCACCATGTCCCAGCCTGTCCCCGTGTGCCCCATGCTTGGGGCTGGGGACTGGGATGCTGAGTGGGGAGCGGTGCACATCTGGATTTCTCACGCTTGCGTTCGACGTCCCTCCTCAACCAGATGGCAAAAATAAATAAATAGAATAAATCAGAGCCTCCTGACACAAATTGGGAACTCACGCCCGGGCTCTGTGTTTCATGAGTCTCCCTGGAAGGCAGTCAAACACAGGGAGGACAATGGGTTCACTTCTCCCTGGTGTCGGGTCATTCCCAGTTAAGGCTCATTAGCGGCAGGCAGGGATTAACTCTTCCTTCCCTGGAAAAGTGGATACCTCTGCAGTGCAGGGCAGACCCAAAACTGCCAAAACCCAGATCCCTCCCCTCCCTATGGGGCTGCGAGGCCCCCAGCCAGTGCCATCTCCCCACCGACCTGCGCCGCTGCCCCGCAGCCATCCCCAGTCACAGGCAGTTGGATGGGGCTGACTTCAGCCCGCACTGATGCCACCCCGCAGCCACGCGCCGGGGCAAACCGTCACAGAGAGCCCCTATTAGCAGTTCCCCTTTGGACACGGGAGCAGAGGAAATATGTTGGCTGGGGGGAACGCCAAGGGAAGGGGAGCTTTGGGAGCACGGTGCCTTCGCCCCTGTACCGGAGTGCTCTGACCGGCCGCGCTCCGTCCCCGAGCCGCTGCCTTGGGGAGCGCGGTACGTGAGGATCCGCTGCTGCCTGCGGTGAAGTCAGAGCCGCTGCCTGGGTGTGCCGGGCTGACCTCAGCCCTTGGCCCTGCAGCGCATCATGTGCTTGCTCACGCCCCGCGTAACCCGGCCGGACGGGTCCACACGCTGCCCTGGGGCCACCGGCCAGACCAGACCTGCAGGTGCAGCCCCGGGATCTGCGAGCGCCATAATGCCTGAGCTGCATCCATGTGCTGGGAGCATCCCGAGGTGTGCAAGCACGAGGCTGCACGTTGGGTACCACTCCTGCATCCCAACCGGGCACCGCCTGCGCATCCATTGCCCCGCTGCCTGCTGGAGCCCATTGACCTCCATGGCCGAGGTGCCCACAAGGGTCGGTCTTTGGGAGACGGGCTCTGTTTGGAGTCTCACATGGCCTGCAGCATGATCAGCCTCTATATGGGATGCCAGCCCGGTCCCCATGCAGGAGAACATTGTGTCCGTGGGGCCGGCCAGCGGCGTTTTCTCAGCATCCTCAGCTGGCCGCCGGCCCGAGCACAGCAAGCGGAGCCGAGCCCATCTGAAATGCATTCGTCCCCGGGCACTGTGTCTGGAAGAGCAGATGCTCCCGTGGGCCCCCGACCACATCAGAGCACAGCAGCGCGGGAACCACACGCTTGCATGGGAAGAAATGGCCTCATGCCCCCAACGGCCCAACTCCTAATTGAAGACCAACCGTAACCAATCAACGAGACAATGGGCTGGAGGCGAGACGAGTGCCATGTCCTTCACAGGGACTGGCTCCTCCATGCCCTGCAGGGATTTGGCACAGAGGGGAGGGTGGGGGCCGGATCCGGACCCCCTCAGATGACACAGTCCCATGGTTTCCCATTGGCAGCTTAGCTGGGGGAGCACTCAGCAGTGTCATGCTGCAGGGGTGCTTGGTGCTCTTATCATCCCGACCCTTCTCCTTCCATCCCACTGACAGTGAACCCAATGTGCTGCTGCCTCCCCTTGCTGTGGGGCTGAAGCTCTTCGGGGTGCACCAGTTTTGGGTGGCCTCAACAAATATAATGCCAGCCTGGCTCCGTGGGGAGGCTCCATGGGAAGGACTCACCAAGAGAAGGGTTTGGTGTACAGGACACCTCTCTGAAACCAAATGGAGGGAACGTGACATGGATGTCATGGAAGGAACACAGGTGGGCACACGTGCCCACAGCCCCACGCCTGTCCCACCACAGGGTGCGGTGCTGGGAGCCAGCAGTGGGAGCTGTGCTTTGGCACTGCCCAGTGGGATGATCCCGTGGCTGCTTTTTCCCACTGAGACAAAGAGAAGAAGTCAGAAAATTAGTGAAGGAGGCGGAGATGCCCGAAGACATAGGGATAATGGAAAGCAGAGATTGCTCTCCGCGTCCAAAGGGATGGCAGAACCGCTCTGATTAAGAGCAAATGCTGCAGCATTTCCACCTGCTCCTCATGCTGCCTGAGCAGTGGGGAGAGAGAGGATGTTCCAAGCCCAAATGAGGGGTGCTTTGCACTACAGCACCCATAGCAGCACTTACAGCACCTACAGCACTCATAGCAGCACCTGCAGCACCTATATAGTACCTATAGCAGCACCTACAGCACCACGGGCTCTGGCTGCCTCTGGGCCACTTTTCAGGGCTCAGCTAAGATGTTCATTTATTGCAGTGAAACAAAAGCCATGCCCAGTGCTCCCAGATGTGGTCATGCTCCCTTCTCCCCTGTGGCTGCTGCTTTCAGCCTCATTTCCCAAGAAAACGAAGTGGGCGTGCAGTGGTGTGGCTGCCAGCTGACCCCAGCTCCAGGGTTGTGCTTTCTCCTGGCCAGGTACTGCCAAGCCCTGGGCTCTGCTCCTTATGCCCGTGGGATTCTCCTGGTGCTCATCTTCCCCTGGGGTTCAATGTGGCCGGGGGGCTGGAGCAGGAGGGTGCCTCAAGAAATGGCCCTGGGGGCGGAGTGATGTTCTCCATCCTGGTCTAACTCTGACAGAAGGTTAAAGCTTCCACACCTCAGGTAGAGGGAAACAGCCTGGATCCCGGTGCTGGTCGGTGGGGAGAGCAGTGTGGGCCCAAAAGTGATGAGGAGCTGTGACCCTGGGAGCATCCTCAACCATATTCCCAATGACACGTGCAATCACTTCCCTGCTCCCATCCCTCCCATGCCCATTCCCATACCTGCTCCAATGTCCACTCCCATCTCGCTTCCCATACCGGTTTCTATTCCTGCTCTCATCCCAGTTCCCATAGCCTCTCCCATCCCAGTTCCCATCCCACTTCCCATAGCCTCTCCCATTCCAGTTTCCATCCCCACTCCCATCCCAGTTCCCATCCCACTTCCCATAGCCTCTCCCATCCCAATTTCCATCCCAGTTCCCATTCCCACTCCCACCTCAGTTCCCATCCCAGCTCACATACCAGTTCCCATCTCAGCTCCCATCCCAGCTCCCACCCCAGTCCCCATCCCAGCTGCCTTCCCTGCTCCCATCCCCATTCCCACCCCAGCTCCCATCCCAGTTTACATCCCAGTTCCCACCCCCATTCCCATCCCAGTTCCAATCCCCGCTCCCATCCCCATTGCCAACGCATTTCCCACCCCCACTCCCATCCCTGTTCCCATCCCCTTTGCCCGTGCAGCTCTATGGGGCCAGGCCCACAGCCTGTTCTGTGCTTCTGTCTCCACGTGTGGATGGAGGTGTGTGTGTGCTGTGCATCCTGCCGGGCGTGCAGGGGTGTCTGCTCTTGGCAGAGGAGATCCGGGCCGGGAGCCCGGCAGCTGTTCCGAGCCTGGCTGCAGCCAGACAGCCACCGCAGCGCTGGTGACCGCATGCGCCCGCTCCCCTCCGGCCCTTCCGAATCACTCCGTCACATGCACTGAAACAAAGGGAACGAAGGGCTGCACCGACAGCAACATCAACATGTCATAATAAATAAGTGGGCACCCCCCGGGTGCTGGGATCGGCCCTGCTGGAGATGGGGCTCGGTGCCGATCCGGGTGCGCTGCGCCGGGGGGGTGTGGGTGGGTTCCAACGCGGGGATGGCCGTGCTGCATT